GAGTTACCCACTTTGTCCCTCTGCCTTAAAGATACCTGCTTGCTAAAAGTCTTCAAGAATGAAGTGATCAGATCGATTCATCTGCAGGAGGTTTTGTTTTTTTTTAACAAATTGACATACGGTTGTGTTTATTTTTACTTCACTGCCTAGTTTAAGCATTATTTTCTTGAGTTAAGTAATACATTTGCTGTTGAGAGGATTCAATATACAAGATTCATCCCACCTCTTCCCCAGTCACTCGATTACCTTCCCTTGAGGCAACTAATATTAGGAGTTTCTTGTGTACCCTTCTGAATTATTCTATGCATCATGTATGATTTTAATGTTTGACTCTGACAAGATGCTTTAAAGGTATTACATTCATTACTCTTCAGGTGAATTTTAGAATTAAATGTCAAGGGCTTTCTGGGACAGTGTACCCAATACCATACAAATGTACACATTAATACATCATGTCCTTTTGCTTCTAGTGAATTCTGATAATTTGTACTTGAGGCTAGTGTGCCAGATAGTGGAAATTTAACCTCACCTGTTTGGCTTTTATTATCCTTTCTTTAAAACTAAATATGTGAAAATAGAATAGTTAGATGATACTTAGGAACTATCAGTAATTTTATGTACTTTCAAAAAAATTTTTAAAGATTTATTTGAGAGAGAGAGAGAGCATGGAAAGGGAGAGGAAGCGAATCTCCATCAGACTTCTTGCTGAGCATGGATACTGACTCAAGGCTCAAGCCCACAACCCTGAGATCATGATCTGCGCTGAAATCAAGAGTTGGACACTCAATCGACTGAGCCACCCAGGCGCCCCAAGCGTCAGACTCTTGATCTAAGCTCAGGTCTTGATCTCAGGGTCATGAGTTCAAGCCCCATGTTGGGCTTCATGCTGGGTGTGGAGTCTACTTTAAAAAAAAAAAAATGTGCTTAGGAGCCCTGATTTTAAGTCATCATTGGCTTCCAATGATACCCTTGCTGTTACCCCCTCTAAGATGGCAGTGAGACTGTTTGACGTGATTAATATAGATGTTACAAGACTGGGAGTTAGGAGACCTAGTCTCTGCATTGGGCAAGTCATTTGACCTTTCTGGAATTCAAATACTTTCTCCACAAAAATCTGACAGCTTTCTAAGGCTTTCAGATTACCTACTGAAAAAAATTCCTAAGCTGCCTGTTTCAACCTAACAAGAACAATTAAATCTACAGACAAGTGCAGCCTTGTCTCTGGTCTATTGATCTCTTTTTGGATGTTTCTACTTTCAGCCTAACATGATTTGCAAGAACACTTCGGGTTTGTCACGCCATTGTTACTTGTTCACATTTGATGAGGCAAGATTGACCCCAGGCAGCTGTTGAATGAAATTGGACATGACCCATTGATCTGTGACATGGATTCCCGGAGCAATCAGCTGGAAAAAATGGACCCAAAATTCAAGTCACTGTAATCACCCACAAATAAAAAAGGAAAATTCTCATTTGTTTCACTTTTCATTTCTAAATATGATACACCAGGGGAGGCTCAGCCATGGTGTCAATTAGAGGAAAATATTACAAGAGAATTGCAAAGCCCCAAAGGACATTTTGACCTCCAGGGAGAAGTAGGTTAGACTCTATTGATCAAAATTACTGTGCTCATTCTGGTTTCTGCCCCAGAATCAGAGCTGAACAGAGCCTTTATATCTGCAACCAGCAGCAGTTGTTCACTAATTAGCCACTCATGGTCCAACTTTAAGGTTTTTTGAGTCCAGTTGTTACCATTTTTTTTGACCATCTGTAAGGTAAGTGGTAAACATGGACTTTCTTGTTTATGAGAAATAGAGGAAATCCCTCTGGGGATAGATAAGATCTGAAATAAAATTCAGGAAAGGAGCAAGTTTTTACATGGGAGATGCTAAATTAGTATTTAATAATAAAATTCAAGAATATTTCTAGGACCTGTAGTCATTATTGGTAAAGTAGTTACTTTTAGGATATATAGGAATATTTGAGGAATTTGCTCTTGCATGCCAATATGCATGATTGTATTTCTGTTTTTCATGTTGGCCCAGTTTTCCTTTACTTGCTATTTAAGGGTAATAATTACCAAGTTTTAAAGGGATAGTGGCAATAAGAAGCATTAAATAGTTTAGGACTTTCGAGTAGAGAATAGTGATATGAGTTAGCTTTCTCATTTCAGGATTTTTTATATATAAAATAGAAGGTCTAGATTTTTTGTAAGTGCTAAAGGAATTATTTTTAAATAAAGAATAATGTCTAGAAATTTTTAAGGGAATAATGAGAAAGGAACTAAACTCTTTGAGAGGATAGAACTTAGTAAATTACTGCTTCAGTTAATGAGGCATAAGTCCAAAATTTTAAAATCTATTTTTTATATGCAAATACTACATGTGACTACATTCCTAATTTTTGAATTTCAAGCAATTCTCAAGTAAATAGAGTAAAATATAAAAGTCTCATTAATACCCCTCCCAAATTCTGAGGTATTTAATATTTAAATTTTATTTAAAAATTATGTAGACATATGTATGCATATACAAGTAAAAATTTATATAAATATTTACATTGGATAAAAATCTGTCATGCTTGCTTAGAAGATTAAGAAATCTTTATTCTTTTTCCTTTTTCTTTTTTGCCTCTCTTTTGCCCCTCTACCCTCATAACCTCCTATAGACCTCCAGTAACCTATATTAACTTCCTGTTGTGTGGCCTGTATTTTTTTTCTCCATGCTCATATAGTCATGTATATATACTTCATATACATATGCATACATATATGTGTACATTTATAGCATTTTATTTTACTCTGATGTAAAATCTCACATTGAATCTATGGATCAATTAATTTGGGGAGAATTGACATCTTTACAAATACTGTTTTCCAATCCCTAAACATGGTATATCCCACAATTAATTTATATAAATAGAGGAGTATGTGTATTTGGCATTGTGTCTCTCCTTGAAACTCTGTCCTTTGGTTTCAGTGACACTGTTCTCATGGCTCCCCCTCCCCCCCACTTTGGCCATTTCTCATTTTTATTTGTAGACTTACTTTCCTATGCTATTTCTCAGGGTTCTATTGGCTCACTTTGTCTTGTCCCTAAGTGATCTCTACCTATTCAGTGATTATTCACAAATGTTTAAATGTTTATCTCTAGTTTGTACCTTTCGTTGTTTTTATTCTCTGGACCCAAATGCCTTTTGGACATCTCCACTTTTGCCATTCAGCTTTGTTGGGTAAAATCTAAAACTTTTTTCAATTATAATTTCTGACATTATGTGCTTAAAAAAGACTTCCTCTACTTCAAAATTACAAAACGTTATATTTTATTGTAATACTTTTGTGGTTGCCTTTTTTACATTTAATACTTCATTCTACCTGGGATTTATTTTATGTTTGGAGAGATAAGTAGGGAAAGTGTAATGATTCCATATTTTTTCTCTTGTATTTTTTTAAAGATTCATTTATTCATTTGAGAGAGAGAGAGAGCACGGGGAGAGGGGCTGAGGGAGAGAAAGAGAATCTCCAGCAGACTCCTGGCTGAGCACAGAGCCCAACATGGGGCTTGATCCCACAACCCTACAACCCTGAGATCATGACCTGAGCCGAAACCAAGAGTTGGACGCTCAACTGACTGAGCTACCCAGGCACCTCTCTCTTGTATTTTTGAGTTGATATTCACTCAATTCTTTTCTTTTTCACTATTTGTCCATTTTATGTGTTACTGAGAGTCCTTATTGACTAAGTACTGTGAGGGCTGGATGAGGTACATCTTGTTCATTGTTGAATTCCTTGGCATTTAGGACAATGTCTAGGTGATAGTAAAATTTTAGTAAATATTATTGAAAGAATGAATTATGGAGGGGGAAAATTCTTTCATTACTGGTTTTAACTTCATAACACTTTACTGTTTTTTCTCTGTATCTTTAATATCAGGAAATCTGCATCTTAGAAGCCTTTAGCCTATCAAATATTTTAATCTCATCAAATTTTGAAAAACTTTTTTTTCCAGGGTAAACCAAATAACTTATTCATATCAGCTATGCTTCGATTCTTTCCTAGATCCCAAGCTTACTAGAGAAGGAGTTTATATTCACTTTTCTTCTAAGTTAACAAAACTTTCATGAAAACCTGCTGTTCCAGATGTGGCTTTGTGGGTATAATCACATGTCTGTTACTGTTTCTGTGTCTGCTTAATCTTTACTGCTACGCTGTGCCTGTTCCAGAGGCTTTATGTAGCTGATTTGTTTTCTTTACTTGCAGTGGGAGCCATGGATAATACATAATGAGGATCTGCTTTGTTTTTTTGGTGATGATTATTCCAGTGTTAAGGTCAAGGAACTGAGTTTTAAAATGGAAAGACAATTCATCCCACTGTTATTTAATGATACCTTCTGTGTGCAAAGAACAAAATGCTATAGAATATGTCTCTTTCTGCAAAGAGTGTACCTTTCCAAGAAGAGGGACAGAAGACACAACCATCATAAAACTCATCTTAAGCACAATGTCAAATGAGTGGTAGAAACAATAGTGTGGGCATTCAGGAATGGGAAAAATCACTCTGACTTGGGATGGCTAGGGCAAACTTCCTGGAGAAGTTGAGACTTAGTTAAGATCATGTAGGATATCTGGTTAATGGCGCATCTGATATGGGTAAAAAAATGAACAAAATTTGCAATGGAATGCATTGTACAAATGTGATGGCCATTGGATACAGTGGAATGACAGTCAACCTTGTGTGGGAGAGGAGAGGATAGGCAGGAAATTGGATCAGATTGTGGAGGGTCTTTAGTTTTTTTTTTTTTTTTTCCAAAAACATTCCTTGGAAGTATCCTATTTCATCAAGCATAAGCCATAAATATTAGGGCTGGAAAATCCTTCATGGCTTTGCTGACATGAAAAAAAAGAACCTGCTTCATTGATGAGCCTGTGTCTTTGTACATTATATCCATGAGTGCTATTAAGTTCAGTGTTTTCTGTATGTTTCAGACATTAGTCTCTTACCATGGGGGATTGGAATTTATTGGGTGGCATCCTAGAGGAAGTTCACTCCCACTCAACTATAGTGGGGAAAATCTGGCTGACCATACTCTTCATTTTCCGAATGCTGGTACTTGGTGTGGCTGCTGAAGATGTCTGGGATGATGAACAGTCAGCATTTGCCTGCAACACCCAGCAACCAGGTTGCAACAACATCTGTTATGATGCTGCTTTCCCTATCTCTTTGATCAGGTTCTGGGTTTTACAGATCATCTTTGTGTCTTCTCCTTCTCTGGTGTATATGGGCCATGTACTTTATAGACTCAGGGCCTTCGAAAAGGAGAGGCAGAAGAAAAAGTCACACCTCCGAGTCCAGTTGGGGAATCCCGAGCTTGAATTGGAGGAGCAACAAAGGATAGATAGAGAACTGAAGAGGTTAGAGGAGCAGAAGAGAATTCATAAAGTCCCTCTAAAAGGATGTCTGCTGCGTACTTATATCTTACACATCTTGACAAGATCTGTGATGGAAGTAGGGTTCATGATAGGCCAATATATTCTATATGGGTTTCAAATGCACCCACTTTACAAATGCACTCAACCTCCTTGTCCTAATGCAGTGGATTGCTTTGTATCCAGGCCCACAGAGAAGACAATTTTCATGCTCTTTATGCACAGCATTGCAGCCATCTCTTTGTTCCTCAGTGCACTGGAAATATTTCATCTGGGAATCAGGAAAATCATGAGGGCATTTTATGAGAAATCCAGCAATGAGGGCACTGAGGATGAAAGCAGCATCCCATTCCATTTGAAAAAATATTCAGTGGCCCAGGAGTGTATGATTTGCTCTCCCTTGCCTAAAAGAATCCCTCTACTTCAAGCAAACAATCAACAGCAAGTCATTCGAGTCAATGTGCCAAAGTCTAAAACCATGTGGCAAAGCTCACAGCCCATGCAACTTGGAGTAGACTCTTGCTGTGTTAAAGAAGAGTGGGCTGAGAAGGATCAGCACAGTGGACAGCTCCATGCCCGCAGCCCATGTCTCTGGGAAGCCGGTACTCAAAGTCAGCACCCCGGACAGCAACCGGACCTTTCCTCTGGCCTACACAACGCAAAGTCTCACTGCTGCCTAGGTACAGAGATAGCTCCCAGACACTGCCCATCCTATGCAATAGGAACCTGGGGGCAGTCCCAGGATCGACGACCCTCAGGAGAGGCTCTCACAGATTTAAACAGTAAATGTAGAGACAGCGATGGCAGTGTGAGAAAGAGTGGGGTCTGGACAGACAGATCTTACCCGGGCAGTCGCAAGGCCAGCTTTCTGTCCAGATTACTGTCTGAAAAGGGACACTTGTACAGTGACTCAGGAAGCTCCAGTTCTCGGAACAGCTCTTGCTTGGACCTTCTGCACCGGGAAAATAGCCCCTCGCTTCTGCCTTCAGCCACTGGGTACAGAACATCAATGGTAAGTAAAGACGGACAGCCTGACTGAACATAGGACTATTGCAAGAGGTTTTCCACTCTAGTTACTTCTTAGCCTTCGCTTTCCAGCTACCTGGTGTGTATATGTGTGTGTTAAGAGAGAGGGAGAGAAGGTGAGGGGGGTTAATTTATGGAGAGTTAAATCCTGTCATTCAATACATTCAGTTAAATTCAATTCATGAAATAAACTTACTGAAAACTTACTTTATATCATTCAGTCTTAGTAAGTGGTGGGTTTATAAGTAGATAAAATACTGTCTCTGCCATCAAAGGGCTCAGAGTCTAGATGGGAAAGTTAGACAGTAAGCATACAAATGTGATCAAGTGTAAGGTGCCATGTTAGAAGGGGTGGATGGGCAAAGGAGGGAGTGGTCAGTTCTTTATGGATGGGTCAGGAAAAGCTTCATAGTAGCAGTTACTTTTGAATTGAGCCTTGAAAGATGTGGTGAGTTTCTCCAGACCTAGGAGGACTGGGGTACATGAAAGAAGGCTATCCTAGTACAGGGAGCAGCACAGACAAAGGCTGAGAGCTGTGACACAGCAGGGCTGCCTGGGGAGCTATGTGTGGCTGGGGCACTGGCAGGTGGGAAGGCTATGGAGAGGGAAGGCTGGGGAAGGGGCCATGGGGGTCTTGTGGGAAGGCAATGGAGCACCCATAGAGGGTGTGCAGCGGAGAAGTGATGGGATCAGAGTTACATTTTAGAAAGCTCTGTCACAGTGTGGAAGATGGATCAGAAGAGGGATCGTTTGTAACCTTGGGTTGCCCTCGTCTCACTAAGGAAGGAGGGTGTGCTCCATTGTTTTAATAGCTCTGGCATTTAAAAGTCATATACAAAGATTTGGTGATATATTTCACAAAGACTAAAGTCAATATTGTATTGATTTTAATTCTGTTTTCTGAAAAGCCAGTGTGGAATAAACGTTTCCTGCTCATTGTTAAGACATAAGGGATATTTACTGTGGACTCGTCTCAATTCTGGAAAAAAGAATGACACTTGCTTTATCCATCACCCCTAACAGCTTTTTTCCATTAAAAAGAAACTCCTCCAAGTTTGGTGGGGGAACTTCCTAGTTGAGCTCACTTGGTTGAGCTCACATACTTGCTTTCTCCTGTTAATGATAATGATTAAATCTATGATTGACTCTCTACCCCAGTTTCATATCTCCTGTGAGCTTAGAGATATTTTGTTACTGCACTAAAGCCATATCTTGAGGAGGAATCATCCTACCTAGATTTTTCCTATAATACTTCTTTCAAACTGATACTCATTTCTTGTCAGTGACCAGTCATCTACCCAGGAGACTATGTTTAGGATCAGAGTGTGGCTACTTGGAACCTACAGCAGGGTTCTCAACCCTGGCTACGAGTTAGAGTCATCATCTGGGGGCTTTAAAAAATCTTCATGCCCAGTACCGATCCAATTCCAATTAAACCAAAATCTTTGAGGGTGGGATGCACATCAGGATATTTAAGTAAATTCTACCCATAATGTGGGGCTTGGACTTAAAATTCCAAGATCAGGAGTCATATGCTGTACTGATTGAGCCAGCTAGGTGCCCCTAGGATTAGTATTTTATTTTATTTTTTAGATTTATTTATTAGAGAGAGAGAGAGGGAGACCGGGGTTGGGAGGAGCAGAGGGAGCGGGAGAGAGAGAATCTCCAGCAGGCTCCCCACTGAGAACAGGTAGCCTGATGTTGGGCTTGATCCCACAACCCTGAGATCATGAGATCCCAACCTGAGCTGAAACCGAGTCGGCTGCTGAACCGACTGAGCCATGCAGGCGTCCCTGGGATTAGTATTTTTTAAACTCCCATGGTGATTGCAATGTGCAGTCAGGGTTGAGAATCACTATTTTAGAGTAACCTTGCCAGGGGTTACTGCTTCTTATCTCCATTTGTGAATTCAACAAGACAGTTTTAGTCATTTTCCCTTTCTTATACCTCCTTCCATGTGAGAGGAGTCTTCGTATTGGCAGAGAGTTGAGGGAGAGATGGTAGTGTTTAGTTAAGGCAGGTTTTTTTTAATCTTTCAGATTATCTTTTGGGGGAGGCCAGCCATTCCTACAAGCCTGGAGAAAAGATGATGAAGATGACAGGCCCCCTTTCTTTTTTCTTCTTCCTCTTTCTTCCCTGTTTTTTATGTTTCTAGGAATTACAAATAATGTCTTTGGCCACAGAGATTTCCTACTTATGATTACTTTCCCACCAAACCCCTTACAGGGTTGACAGGCCACTTCACTCCCCAGATGGTAGGAAGACTTGGGGATCGAGGCCACAGCTATCAACCCCAGAGCTCTGTGGCTGAGACATGACGCTTCTTGCCTACAGAGGAATTTGTAACTAGAAACCAGTGCAGCAAACAGGATTATAATCATCCACTGTCAATATATGGACTGTAAACTGCTTTTTACACTGTATTGGGTCCTGGATGGCAGAATTTTTCGGGCTCAGTAAGATGCATTCTGACTTCAGCAGTTGATGTTTCAGAGTGAAATGACTTCTGGTAGGACCACAGTTGCTTTGCTGCTTATGATGTGTCCCTTCGAGGGAACTGTCCTGCAAAAGAAATGCATTCTATTTTGGAAGGTCATAGAAGGCACCAGAAGGAGCCATGATTTTATGCTCTGAGACATTTCCCTAGCTGTCACCCAAACCCCACAATTTTTTCAAGTCCAAACTCACTGATCGCTAAATAAGCTTCTGTCAAGGTTGGTTCTTTGAAGACTTAGCTGGGCATGGAAAGCAGACTTTCATTCTGGCCAAGTGAGCCTGGGGAGGAGGGCTGGCTGAGTTTAGCAACCCGCGCTACCCTCTGTAAGGGAGAACTGTCCCCATTGCTGAATGCAGAGATGCTGTGGAGCAGTAATTCCTGTGCCCAGTTCCACATGAAATCACTGGGGAAGCTTTGAAAACTGTCCCAGGAAAAGTCTGCAGATGGAGCCTTGACACTAGTACTTTTTAAAGCTCCCAGATGATTCCAATATACAGCCAGAGTTCAGAACCATGGCCGTAGAGAACGGAGATTTTGACATTAGGAATAAGATTGCCCTGTGAATTCTTCCAATCTTTTGGGACATTAAAGTGATGTAGCTTCAAAAGGTGAGGACACTTACACTTCATCCCACTGCCTGGGATGTACCACCCACCCTAAGACCTTGCCATGACCGATGGGGCCAGCTGTGTCAAGGCCCTACCGAGTTCTCTTGGGCCACGACCAAGGAGGGGAGAGATAAGAACGAGGTTGAAACAGGCAGGAGCTGATACTAGGGCTTTATAGGCCATGGAAAGGAATTTGGGCTGGATGGCACAGGGATGGTGGTGCGCTGAGACATATGTTTCAAAAAAACCCCCGCGTTCTGGAGAGTCTGGTCTGAATGTTTGCATCCCCTCAGAATTCATATGTTGAGACTTATTCCCCAATGTGATGGTGCTTGGAGGTGGGGTCTTTGGGAGGTGATTAGGTCATGAAGGTGGAACCCTCATGAATTGGATTAGTGCCCTTATACAAGGGGCTACAGAAAGTTCCCTATCCTGTCTACTGTGTGAGGACACAGCAAAAAGACAGCTATCTATGAACCAGGAAATGGGTTTTCACCAGACAGGGAATCTGTCAGCACCTTTATCTTGGGCTTCTCAGCCTCTAGAGCTGTGGGAAATAAGTTTCTATTCTTTATAATCCACCCAGTCTACCTGAATGGTCTAAGACAAGGGGTGAGAGTGCAGTCAGGGAGGCCAGCTAGGAGGCTTACCCAGTGGTCCAGGGGAGAGAGGCACGTGGCTCAGACCAGGGGACCATCGTTAATGGTTTGCATGGAAGAACAGTCTTTCTTGTTTTTCAAATTGAAGTAATACATGCTCATTGAAAGAAATTCAAGCAATATAAAAGAACATAGAGAATAAAATGTGAACCTGACCATGTGAGGATTCATCTCTTTGTTCTCATCTGGATTCAGTTCCCACTTCACTCCCCGAAGACAACTGCTAACAGCTTAGGGTGTGTTCCCTCTACCTTCCTCAGGGTATTCGTCATCTGTCTTTGAGGACAAATGTATGTCCACACATATATGGTGGTTTTTAAAAATACAAATGTGATCATGTAGAGATGCAGAGATGTCTTTGCAATTTGCTTTTGCTCATTTCATATGTCACAGGGGTCTTCCCATGTCAGTACCTGTGGAACGGCCTCAGTTTTACATTAATTCATGCTTTTGCATGGTTTGGATGAGCCAGAAGATACTTGATGGCCAGTTAGCCATTCTGACTTTTTTCTACTGCACGCAATGTTGCAGTGGATGTTTCGTACATATATCTTTAACAGGTATCTAGAAGTGGAATTATTGGTTCTAATGGACATGCACATATTACATTTTGACAGATGCTGAAAATTTTTGTTCAGGAAGGACTACACCAATTTGTTCTCTCTCTTTTTTAAAAGATTTTATTTATTTGAGAGAGAGGCAGAGAGAAAGGACACGAGTGAGGGGGAGGGGCAGAGGGAGAAGCAGGCTCCCCACTGAGCAGGGAGCCTGACTCGACTCAGGGCTTTGATCCCAGGACCCCGGGATCATGACCTGAGCCGAAGGCAGATGCTTAACCGACTGAGCCACCCAGGCGCCCCTCCACCAATTTATTCTCTTATCAGCACATTAGCACCTCTTTCCCCACACTCTTATTCATACCAGCCATTATCTTCTTTCCTTCCAATCTGATGAACTAAAAGTGTTTACCTTTGTTTTTTCCTTCCATTTTTTATTTTAGAGAGAGAGAGAGCACAAGTGGGAGGGGCAGAGGGAGAGGGAGAGAGAATCTCAAGCAGATTGCGCTCAGCACGGAGCCCGAGGTAGGCCTCGATCTCATGACCCCGAGATCATGATCTGAGCCGAAACCAAGAGCTGGATGCCTGACTATACCATGCAGGCGCCCCGTGTTTCCCTTTGTTTTAATTTACATCTGTGATTACTAGTGAGGTTCATATGTTTACTGGTCATCTGTATTTCCACCATGAATGACCCTCGTCTATCTTTTCTGTTGGGATATTTGTCTTTCTTCTGATTTCTAGGAGCTCTTATATGGTATTATATTAACTCCTTGTCTGTATGTGTGTGTATATATATATATGGAAAGATTTTTCTCCCAGTCTGCTTGTCTCTTATCCCTGTTTACGGCATCTTTGAATTTT